CACACACACACACACTCACACACTCCCCCCAGGTTGGGGTAATTAAACTACATCACTTCCAGTTTTTAGTTTTAGCTTTCTATTTATTCTCTTCTCAGTTGACTTGTTTCTGCAGGAGAACTTTGTCACTTCTATAGCAGGCTGTTTCAGCAGAGAAAGAACAGTTTGATCATTTTTGAATCTATTTTTATGTGTTGGTGTGAAAGAGGAGAGAGTCGGAGCCTAAATGAAGTGCAGATTGACTCTGTAAATTACACCAGGCAGCACCGTGAGTCATCTTACCTCTGTATCTACAACTGTTACTCATCGACTTCAAGAACTTCTATTTTTATCTCACTGTTAAAAACTGATTCACTGCATGGAAAAGTCTGATGACTCCAGCAGGAAGTTGTGTTTTTGTTGATTTTTATGAGGAAATATCTGTTGGGTCGGTACCATGTAAACAAGTTGTTTTTCTGCACCTTTGACCTCATTTTCAAAAAGTTTAATGACAAGTTTTCCATCAGGATCTTTGTGTAAAATCTGCTCTTTGAAAATATGAAAATATTCAGATTGTGGAGCTTTTTACCAAGAACTTGTCCTGGTTTGAACACAGCTTATTTCTGTTTACTGAAGGAAAACTGTTTCATTAGATTTAGTTTTCCTAGAAATTCCTCACTTAATAATTAATTCTTATATAAAGCATGAGTTTAGCTCACTGTCAGTTAAAAGGTTTGGTTATTTTAAATCCTGGTTGCTCTCTGTCCTCTTAAATCAGTCCTAATCTTCCTCTTCTTCCTCCTCCTGTTTGTTGCCTTCTCTCTGAGTCGTCTTAGCCTGAAGGAGGAGTTTTTTTTAACTCCTAAGTGTGCGTCTCAGTGAAGCACTTAAGTCTCCTCCTGTGTGTGGAGCTCGTAATGAGCTCTGCCAGCTGGGCTGCACATGCACAACACACTTTCACAGAGACAAAACAAAACAAAACACACTCATGACGACATGTGTGCAAAGGCAGATCTGGAGAACAGATGACGTCATGAGCTGCAGACTTGTCTGAGTCAGCAAAAAATTACTTTTTTTGTTTTAGCAGCGATGAACCAACAACACTTTCAATGTTATCTGAAAAAATACACAAGTATTTACAAATTTATTTATTTATTTAATTATTTATTTATTTAAGAGGAGATATATATGGATGCAGTTAGAGAGGATATGAAGGACAGAGTGAGGTGGAGGAGGATGAAGAGGGAACAGCCTAAATCAGTGGTTCCCAAACTTTTTATCTTCTGACCCACAAAATATCCATGGCAAAAAMTTGTGACCCCAAATATTACTGGTCTGAGTACACGAACGTCATTAATAACCCTAAAAACACAGGCTTTTTGA